CGATATCTGCTTCCGTACGCTGAAGTTACAAGTCCCCAGCCACGAAGATCTCAACGGGCTCGTGTCCACTGTTATGGCTGGCGTTACAACGTGCCTCCGCTTCCCCGGCCAGCTCAACTCTGACCTCCGCAAACTTGCGGTGAATCTTGGTCCGTGTTGTTTCATGTCTCAAGACCGCATGCTGACTTGCAATAGTGCCTTTCCCGCGTCTGCACTTTTTCATGCCAGGAATTGCGCCGCTAACGGCCTTGGGCAGCGCGCAATATCGGAACACCAGTGTTCACGAACTCACGCAGCAGATGTTTGAAAGCAAGAACATGATGACCGCCGCCGATCCGCGCAATGGGCGTTTCCTCACTGTAAGCTACTTTCACCTGTGTGTGTGTTTGCAAAACTGACACTGTTAGGTCGCCGCGTTCTTCCGTGGCAAGGTCTCGATGAAGGACGTAGAGGAGGAGATGCAAAAGGTCCAAGACAAGAACACGGCGTACTTTGTCGAGTGGATACCGAACAACGTCCTCTCTGCGCACTGCGACATTGCCCCTCGTGGTCGCAAGATGAGCGTTACCTTTATCGGCAACTCGACGGCCATCCAGGAGGTTTTCAAACGGATCGGCGACCAGTTTAGGTCCATGTTCAAGAGGAAGGCGTTCTTGCATTGGTATACGAGCGAGGGCATGGACGAGATGGAGTTTACAGAGGCCGAGTCGAATATGCAGGACTTGGTTGCGGAATACCAGCAGTACCAAGATGCTACTCTCGAGAACGAGGAGGAGGAGCAGGAGTACGTCGGTGAAGAGGATTAGGACATTGTATTCAATTTGTATCATATCAGATATCACAGCGGAGGTAAATCTGGTGCCGCGTGAGCATGTCATCCTGATCTCGAGGACTTGCGTCTACATAGGCCAACGTCCTCGAGAGCAACGACATAGAGACAACTCTCGAGTACCAGCAAGCACCAGCGAGCGCCTAAAGACTCGGGAATCCAATCTGACTGCAGCCGGGACGTCGGATATCCCGGCGGTTACATGTAATCATTTTTCGAAGATACAGTCTGGTGCAACGCCCGCGAGCGCTGATTAGAGATGTAGAATTAGAAAGCTGCTGGCCAGTCATGGGCGGAGGAAAGGTAAGTAGCAGGGGTAGCAGCAGGGGTCGCAATGGGGTTGGGTAAATTGAAAGGAAGAGATCGACGGCCTCGATAATTGCCGAGCCACGGGTCCGGCTGCCAACGCCGTGCCTGAGATGCCTACTTACTAAATGAAATTTTGAGCCGTCTCCTCTCCCGTCATGGGCGACCGCAGAAGCAGTCTGCTCGTCGACGCAGGCAACGCCCTCGCCAGTCTTCGCTTTTCCCGGCGAAGGCCCTCCCTGCGTCAGCCAGTGGACCCACCACACATAGAGTTCTCTCTACCCAATGTCATTGATATTTCTGCCCCTCCCCCAGACTTTGAGCTCGAGGAACGCCAACGACTTCGGGATGCAGCTGCTCAAAGCATCGGACTGGGACCACTTACCGAGGATGCTGTCGAGGAAACAGTCCAGGAGGACGCTGTCGAGCCCAATGTCCCTCCACCTGCAATTCCCGCGTTCCCCGCAACAACGACTGCGGTGCTCAATCCGTTACTCGCCGCGACACTCCCGAAACACTACCCTCACCACTCCCTGCGTCTCTTTGCACTAACAAAGCCGTGGAAGACCCGACATATCCTTCTCTCCGCAGGCCACCCGTCACAACAATCCCATCTACACTTATTCAAGGGCTCCTCTAAAGACGACCAGGAACTCGAGAGGCTCGCAATAGGACCTGACAGTGTTGTGTTCGTCGCCGATTCTGCGACTATCGCGCCACTCGACCACCGCGCTCAGATAGTCAAGGTTGGCGGCGACGACGTTGGTGCACGCCGCAAAGAGTGGAACACTACCGATGACGCTGGCCGTACGGTGTGGCTCATTCACTTTCCCAATTCCACCGAAGCCCAGCGTTGGATTTCTGCTATCAAGAATGCCATATTGGAACAGAGGTCCGTTCCTTGTTCCCTCTCCGTCAATATATTTCTCAAGTCACATAGATCTCAACGCGCCGGCTTGGCCCCGCTTCCGTCCACCGGTTCTCCTCAGGAGCCCCGTGGCGACATGGACGTGATGCTCACCATGCGTAGCATGCACGCCGCGTCGAAATCCTCTCCGTCCTCCCCACCCACCGCCTCACCAATTGCCATCTCTCCTTCTCCTACCCTGTCGCCGCAGGATCAGCGACCTGCTACATCACATCGCGAAACTCGTCGTCCAAGAACGCCCAGTTCCCCCACTACATCCCTCGCACCGTCTTCGTCTGCCCGCTCCATCTCCATGTCAATTCGTTCAGCCGCTACCACACCGCAACCGAAAACGCAGCACGGACAGAGTCCTTCTGTCTCTGCTGTCGCCGCACTCAAAGGGCTCTTTTCAGGTTCTGGTCTGAAACCCGATGGCCGCCCACGCTCCTCCTCTGCCGCTTCTGTGACCTCTGGACGGAGCTTCAGCACATCTGTGCGAAGCCTTTCTCCTCCGAGAAGCGTTTCCATGTCGTCTTCGCCCCGGCCCACAAGTCTTGTACGCGCCCTGTCCGCATCAGGGCGCAATAAAGAAGAGGGACAACGGAGCGGATCTTTTGCTCGCATGGGCAGCATCCTTGCCGGCGGTTCGGGCCAAACATCCCGTGCAAAGGCGACGTTGCCTGTTGGGGGTGGGGCGCCTGTAAGCAGCACCCCGGAGGCGAATGGGGCTTTGGACCTAGAGCGGAGAATTGTACGGCAGGCAGAGCGGGGAGCCAGTGTTGATATAACCGCGAACGGGAATGGTCATGTGCATTCAGCGTCGGAGCCCACGAGCGGCAAGCGACGTACGCTCGGCGCGTTGACACTCACATCGTTGCAGCCTCCACCACGAGCTCGCAAGCGATGGACTGCAGGGAGTGCGCCTCCTGTTGGATCTGTTTCTGCCCATGGCCACATGGAGTCCGTCAGTGCACGGGAGGAGGACGAAGAGGCTGATGTCATGGGAAATGCCTATGCGGGGAGCACAAATGGGCACGGTGGAAGCCCGAGTACCACCGGGAGCTTTTTCTACGCCCATCCTCATGCCAACGGAAGTGCTGGGACGGCCGGAAGTTTTGGCGTGCCGCCCTCCGTGTCCAAACGAAGGTCGGAATATGGCGCACCTGAAGGGGTGGAGGAGGTTGTGGCTACGAGAGAGGATCACCTCAGCCAACGCAGCGTCAGCACGCGTTCACGTGCCTCTAGTGTCGGGACGAGTGGGACAACTGGTGCTGGAGGGGCCACTTCTCGTCGTTGGTCGACGCTCCCACGACGATTCACACCGCCTGAAAATCCGCCACCGCCATCAACTCGGACAATCCCGCATCCTTATGCCGCGCAACCTGAACGGGAAACGCGTGAGCGTGCGCCGAGTCGCTCCAGTGGACGCTCCTTTGGCTCCAGCTTGCATGAGCTGTCGGCACCTCCGTCGGCAAATGGGACGGGTTGGGGTCGCGGGGGAACGAAGCGGGCTTCGGCCATCAGTGTTGGCAGTGTTTCCATCGGAGGGACCAGCGTTGCATCGGCATCTAGTGCTGGAACGGGATCCCGTGTTCGTGCTTCCGTGCCGCCGCCTCCACGACCAGCACCAACAAGCGCCCTGCCGCCTGCACCGGCTGATGGTGGAAGCCCAAATGGGCGAACATCATTCCGGGAAAGCGGGTCCTCCCCTACCACGGTCACAACCACTGGTAATAAATCTTTCCGCGCTCTGAGACTCTCGCTCAAGGCACCGAAACCGCCACCCGCCGGCTTGTTGCCACCACGTCCTGACGAGCCCGTAGTCGAAAGCAATCATGTTCTCAAGGCCAGTAATGGCCGCGTGAGCATGAATGGCGCAGGTCCTGCGCACCCTCCGCCCCGTGGTCCCTTGCCGCCAACTCCTTCCGAGCCAACATCCTCTCTGCGGGCGAAGCAACGGCTACGCATGCTCAGCGCGCCACCTGCACCTCATCCCTCTGACCCTCCTCCGATGTATGAATTTTCGAATCCCTCCTCGCGGCGGATTAGCATGGATGGTGTGCCAAGTTCTCCCACCGCTCGCCCGCTGGCAAGCTTCCTCTCCACGTCGACGCCCGCAACACCGACGACAGCGACACCTTCCACTTCCTTTGCCACCGCCCTCGGAAACCTTCCAACCCAGCTGGGCGAGAAGATTGTGCAACCTCATACGCAGAACGATCCAAGCTTCCTACAGATGACTCCCATCTCGACGCCCGTTCTGCGTCCACTCCCCACGCTCCCTATGGAACCGCCACCCGAGATTGCCTCGCTGCCACCTCCACGACGCGGGTCCCGCCAAATCTCTATCAAAGAGATGCCTGAACGGACTATCACCCCCGAGCCCGAGCCCGAGCCCGAGCCGACGGCCCCGCTTCTTCCCCTTGATCAAGCGGCTTCAGAGGGCGGCGGCACGGGCCCTGGTCCTGGCAAACTCTTTTCACTTTCTCGGCACGGCTCTGTCATCTCGCTCGGCATTGTTACTGTATAAAATTCTCATACTTAGATTTTCGCGGCTCCTGGTTCTTGTATATGTATCTTTTTTTTGCGCTATCTTTTATGGATTATTCTTCGACTTACTCACTGTACTATCAGTCATCTTGGGAGGGCAGAGCACAATATAAAAAATACCATTGTCTTCCGGGCACATCTGAATCCTCTGGAAAAATACCGTTCGTGGAGCGTCCGAATCTACATTCGGCAGGTTCAGTGAGTCTGCTTTTGAAGGGCTGTCGTGAAGAAGTATGTATCCGTGAAAACAAGAATTTGAACCTGGCGACGGTGCATTGGGTATGGTATCAGTAGCTATGTGGAACGACGTTTCCTTGGGGCTACAAGGCTAAAGCTCCTTTTTGAATTTTGGAGAAACACCACTCAGTCTCCAGACATATCCACTCAAAAAACGTGGTTCCCCAAATAAGGTCGCGCCCGGACTCGAACCGGGGTGGCCAGAAGTTTGAATGACTTCAAAATCTGGAATGATAACCTCTACATCACGCCACCATTATACAGTGTTTCGAAGATGACTTTACTACACTACTCGTCGCTATGTCTAGCTCGTTTCCCTACAGTACCCTCGGCAATAGACTGAGCACGAATCCACGCCGCAAATGCTGAAAACAAATGACAGTCCAAGTGTTTGTCGCAGAACGCAAGGATCGATTGATATCGACTGTCCCGGTCGGTGCCCGTGGCAGACAATAATTTGGCTAGATCAACGGGGCAGAGGAAGGGAGGTTGTCTCGCATCCTCCTTCAAGGACGCAGTGCCCTGCATTGCACAGGCATAGTAGACACAGTGGTCGATGCCTAGGCAATGACCGAGCTCGTGGCTCGCAGTGCGGCAGGCACGGCCAAGCCAAAGGGCCGACAGCGCAGCTGGAGTTGGGGAGTCCGTTAAAGACGGTAAAGCATCGTGTGCAGCGACAGCCGCGTGTAAGGGAGAAAGGGTAGCATATTCTGTTGGGTCCAAAGATGCTGGTGCTGGAGTTTTGCCGCTGCTCTTCTTTTTCGGCCGCTGGGAACAACATGCATCCATGTAGCGTTTACAATGCGATGCGGGCCAGGCGTGGACCCTGTCCACGTTTTGATGTCGGTCAAGGCCAGGATGATACCTGTGGTCAAGTGAGACGACGAGTAGAGGTAGAGAGGAAGCACTGACCTCGCGGTGGAGATGACCGCCACCCTGGAGCCTCCATAAGCACGCCCACAAGCAAAATCATCATCTGGGCTCTCGTAGATGTCGAAGGGGACGAGCATTAACAGGGCAAAAGCATCCTCGGGCAGGATACTGATGGCAGCGTCCAAAAGATCGTCGAGATTGAGCTGTCGTAGAAACACCCCATCTCGAGAGGCCCGTGTACGAATGCGTATACATTCCGTGGCCGTCTTCAGCCCGATATAACGCGGGCTCTTGGACAGCTTTCCCTCCCACTTGGCAAGACATAGAGGTTCCTCTAGTAGCTTCACCGGCATGCCGTCGTAGAACGCTGTGAGGTAGTCGACAATGTCTTGAATACCCGGAGTCTGCACAGACGCCGCCCCCGGTTCTGCATGCTTTGGCTCGTACCATGAGTTGACAAAGGAAATATCCGAGTCAACCTTGGGCGGAGCAGCAACGTATATCGTTCTGCGCCCTGGCTCCACTGCGTTTCGGTCCTCGTCGGTCTGCCATTCTTGTAGGCTTTGAGGAGGATATTCGGGATCTTCTGATAAATCGTCCCCGGGAAGGACGAGAGGAGCACAGAACGGGGAGAAATCATCCGCCGATGCAGCCCGCTTCAGCTTGCCTTTCGCCTGTAGAGAAGCAGCAGCCGCTCGCTGTTCTTCCGTAGGCCTGGAAAAGCCACATTCAGAGGCATGCGAAGAAGACACGAAGCTAAGAGTTGAGTGGTCGCAGTCGGACATGGTGATGGTATGACTCGAAATTCGGTCATCGCAGCAAACAACGATCAAAAAAGTCCGAATCGGGAATGTCCCCGTTTTTGGTCCCGCCGTAAAAGAACTATGTAAAACATACTCGCAGGTGCTATAAAATAAACTACTTCCACAAAGCAAATATATGCATATCAATTTGTTTGAGCACCAACCGCCTGCGGAAAGGATGAGCAAAGCGCAGGACGCCCAAGAATTACTTACCAATCGTTTCAGATGCTCCATGAACACTTGCAAGCTCACATCGTCGGTAAAGATGGCCTGCCCGCCCGCCGCGCCCTGGGTGGAGCCGTACATGTTGTTGGACATGTGCGTCGTAGACGGGTTGAGTTTTGACAGCAAGAACCGAGCTTGACTTCCGCCCTGGTCACATACGATGTATCGCGGAATCGGGAACCGGTCCACGAGCAGATCCTGGGAGGGGAGGGTCAAGACGAGCACGAAAAGAACAGACCACTGCAAACCTGGGCATCAGCGACGGGGACTTCGAGCAGCTCCTTGAAGTTCTCGTAGCCTTCCTGCTCCTGGTATCCCTGCTTGCGCCACTGCGCGACGAGTTCACCGTGGAAGATGAGGATATGGAAGAAAGTGTCCAGCAAGAGGATGACATCGTGCTTGATAGACACGCTGTCCAAAAGAACCGGTTGTGGTGCTGTATCGAAAGTGTACGACATCAAGGTAGGCTGTATCATGATCAAAGAGTTGTTAACATCCTCCTCGTTCAGGATGTGCCTGGAAGGAATTCTCAGTCACGCATCTCAGAGCAGCGAGTATACTGTACCTGTAAAAGGCCGACTCATCCGGACTGTTATTGAACACCTGCAAGAATTGACTCCTCCGCAAGTGGAACATGAATTGAGGGTATATGCTGAAGTTGTCCGTCAGCCGGAAGCTTGTGGGATCTTCCTTCCGATAGTCGGCGAATTTCTGGCACAAGCGGATCAACATTCGGTCAAGCCACCTCAGCACATCGGGCGAGTCGTCAATCTCAGCCTTGAACACAGCGATTCGCGCCATGAGCACTGCCGCAGCCTCCTGGTCGAACGACGCAGCAATGCTGGGGGAGCCAGCTTCGGCAAAGTTGCGGGCGATGGTTGTGACACGCAGACGCTGGAATCCGGAAGCGTGCTGATAGTGGGTGACGAATTGGATGAGACCGCGGGAGCCGGGTTGGAGGGGTTGGCCAGCAGGAGTAACAACCTCAAAGTAGACACCAGTCGAAGTGCGGGGGGTGAGGACATTGATCCTCCACGCGGACGTTTGGCCAATACCAATCTCTGTTTCGCCCACACAGGGAGATTTCTTGCCGGCCGAGATGGCGTGCCCGATGAGACCAGACACCTTCAGTTCTTTCGTTGTTTGAACATCGAAAGTGGCGTTGAAACCCATTTGGAGATGCCCTTGGTCGTCCTTGTTGAACAAGCGGAGGAAACTCTGCTTGAATATCGACGTGGCGAACGAGTCGGACAAGACAATCACGCCGTTGGTGGAATTGGGCAGCGTCTTCATCTCCAAAAGCCCCACCTGGTCAAGACATCCCGCGAAGAGATCAACTGCGTGGCCATTGTTCGAAACGCGTTTCGCGAGGCCTTCGTAGAACTGAAGGGCCAGTGAGCTCAATACCCACCGCTCGTCACGGAAGACCGACCTTGGCAGCACGCTTGAAATGCTTGACGCTGTCTCGATCAATATCATGATGAGAACGAATGGGCTCCTTGAGCTCATTGCTGACCACCATCCCCGGCCCTTCGGTAGCAGGACCACCAGCAAAGAGCATTATGCGCGCACCGGTGTTGGGGTATGTAGTCTAATGGGGATCCATGAGCGTGAGTGAGGATACGTGGCACGGAACCCGTACCTCCAGCAACCCAACAGCGACACTGAGGGCGACACCAGTGCATCTCAAGGGCCGCTTATCGTTGGCAACAGGCCAGGGATCACGGGTCAGGCCTTCGAGAATGCCAGTGAGCTGGAACTCGCATTGCTGCACGGGCAACAGGAATCTTGAGGCACCAAACGACTGTTGAGGCATCGGCTGGCCGGGACGAGGGGCGGCACGCGACTGGGAACTCAACCCGAGCATGTCTTGGATTTGCTTGGGCTGGTATTCCTTTCCACCGCGGAAGACATAGGATTTGTTGCATTCCGCATAGCCGATTTCGTGCACTTGAGTCTAGCGAGGGAGGTCAGTCAACGACGACAACACGGTTTGAGGACTTGCCATGGTTCCAAAGGTGATCAATCCTACGAGAGAGTAGGGCGGGATAAGGCTCAAACTGACAACAAGGGCGTCACGGAGAGCTTTTAGGTCCTCCTCGTCGAGACAGGTGTCGACTACGAAGAGGAAGATGGGAGGGACCTGAACGGGGCGAGAAAGGGTGTATTCGATAGTAGTGTACTTTGGTAGCAGTTCCGCGGGAAGGTTGGTGTTTGAGATGTCCTTGTAATGGGGAGGAAACGCATTGCGGGATAGACAGAACGGGCAGATCCAAAGTTTCCCTCGGATGTCGATTTGGCTATTGTCGCCGACCGTCAGACATTGCGAAGATAGTTATGGGGCGGACTGACCAGTAGGGGTTGAGAATTGCCCGGCAGGGCTGCTTGCAGGCCACAGGCTCATACAAGACTGGGGGGAGGTCCTCTCTTGGCTTCAAGGGGGTGTATAAAGCTGAGATTGGCACTACGGTTCTAGTCGCTTCTATACGCGACGAGGGCCAGACGTTCCACGATAAACGGACGCCTTTCGGAATGCAGCGAGTGAGTTGCGTGAAGATTCGACGTGGAGGCGCAAAGCCGCTCACCATCGCGTTCTTCTACGTCTTCAAAATCGAGCATGGTGTCGCTGTTCAGCGGAGGGAGGGCACGCAGAGGGGGAGACGGGGAACGCTAGGGTTGGTCGAAATACGTGGTGATCAAACCGCTCAGGGCTGCAAACAGATCACAACTCGGGGTCGGGATAGGTGGTCGCAATTATATGTAGAGCCACGCCACGTCTCATTCTACTACTGTACACCACGATACACGTATACTAGCTAACACTTACAATGGGCGTGGCTGTCCCGAGCCCATTTGCATACTGGAACTCGTCCGAATTCTCGTGCTGGTGAAAAGTAAGCACCCTGTATGAGAATACGACGGGACACGGACCTCCCACAGATCGATTGCGACTTCACAACTTTGGCGAACGACCAGAGGCGCGTCTTCACGATTCATCCATTCTTTCAGATGCGGAAGGACCTCTGGAGTGCCAATTCCCCCGAGAGCCTCTGCGGCCTCGTGCCGCACCATTTCAGACTCGTGTGTGTTTTGCAGAACCTTGAGGAGGGCAGGCACAGAGGCAGGCGGAGAGCAGTTGCCCAAACACGAACGCGATTTCGTGTCTGTGGTCGGATTAACGTCTTGGGCTTGGAGAATGAGCGGAATTGAAAATACTTGAACAGTGCGCTGTCGTCCGAAAAACCAGCAGCAAGTGCGTCGACAGCTGCAGGAGTGCCGATATTTCGCAGAGCAAACATGGCCCGATACCGTTCGAACAGGGATAGACGCGTATCGAGTAGCTTTTCTTTCAAG